TCTTCATCATTCGCAGCATACCCGAAATTGCTTTTCAAAAAATCTCTAGCGATGTGCTTAATGTGTGAATTTTCATCATTTATATTAACATTTAAACATATTAATGGTTTATTTTGCGATTCGGTTATAGATTTAGTTGTTGCCGAGGTTGTTGCAGATTCACAAGAAAGTTGTATTGGTGCGGGTGACGGTGCCAGTTTCAGATTTGATTCTTTTTTTTGGAGTAATGTTTTGTAAAAAAGTGAGATCATTGAAAGCATCTTTCTATGACCACTTACTATTTTAAAAGCCTGCACGTTTGTTTTAAAAATTCCGTAATATGCTTCATAATCAGATTCACTGATGATTGTTGGTAAAGTCTCCCTAGCAAAGGTTTCTATTTCTAATATGTCATTGTCATTAATTGTAGCTAATAAAGAGGCACTGTCGTATCCGTTTAGATTGAGCAATTTTTTTAGATAGGGAGGTAATTTAATGTTTAATTCATTTTCCGGCCGTTCATATAAATCTGCTAATTCCCCTTTTTCTGTGGCACTTGTAGGGGTTTCGTCTCGGGTTTCGTTTTCAGGTGATGTATTAGACGCCATAGTTAAAAACCGTGTTAAGGATCCGAAATGTGCTATGGCAACTTATGCAATTATTCCTCAATGTTAAATCATTTAAGGCATTCTGTGACGGTTTTTAACTAAAAGACGATTATGTTAATGTATGTTCTAAGGAGAAAAAAAATGTTCTTACCCTCTTCTGATTGTGATATAATAAACATAAAAAAGATAGATTTGTCCTCAGATTTGCCGTCTTCAAATCAAAAGCACACTACCGAGCACACTCGCGAGCACACTACCAAGCACACTGCTTTTGACACTTCGCGCCACACTATGCTATTAAAATTAATAATTGTAGCCTAGTAGCCACGAGGTACAACCGTTACTATAACTTCGCTTACAACTGTAATTTAAAAATATTCACCCGTTGTGCAATACTGCAACTTCTGCCTACAGTGCTGAAAAAGGATACCTACTAGACGGTTTTCGAGGCGGTTTTACGAGTTACCAATACAAAAACGTATTGTTTTCGTTGAAGGATATCTACCTGATTCGTCATTTTTAGAGTTTGGGATAGAAAGTACCTTAAGTAAACTTAACACTTTTTCGTTCAGTATGATTCATCGTTTTTGTAGCTAATTGAAATTTTTCTACTGTATTTCCACTTATTTCCGTTCTATTTCATCTTTATTTCCACTTATTTCCATTTTATTTCCACTTATTTCCACTTATTTCCATTTATTTCCACTTATTTCCACTTATTTCCATTTATTTCCATTTATTTCCACTTTATTTCCACATATTTCCATTTTATTTCCACGTACCTGTACACCTATTTCCACTAGTGATTTACCCCTCGGCACTACCACTACGCAGATAAGCACTTGAGTGCGGTTCAAAACAAAGGTACAGTTCTTGCTAAATTACACTGCTGCCACCTACACGCAAAAAAGAGTGAATATTTTGAGTAGCTCGTGAGTAGCTGGAAGAGCAATGTGCATAGAATTTTCGCATATTTGGTTTTACTCTCTGATTTTTTTCAATTCACGGACAACTAGCGCGCGTATCGGTCATTTACTAAAATACTCGTACTCGACTCCCGTCTTAAGTTGGCAGCGTAGATAAACACAACACTGACATTTGGAATCTTTAAATTCCGTGAATGTGTATTTTTTTACTCGTAGATAAATTTATTTATGGTGGATGTGTAAACTGCTGATTTGGAATGTATTAAGTTCTTCGTGTACCAAAAATCAAGGAAAACACATAAATTTTACGTACGTAATATGATTTCAAATCTGATGATTTGACGTTGACGTCTTGGCGAACTGCCAACTTAGAGATGAAAAGTTACCAAAAACAATGTTACAATGGAACTCATTGAAACATTGTTTTTGCCGAAAACAGTTGCACAAAATTCTCATTGTAACACCGAAATAGAAAAAATTTATTTTCTTGAAATCATCATGAAACATTCATTCATGTGCCCACGTTGTCAGGAAATTTTTGTTTCTATGACAGTATCAGTATCACTTTACCAAACTACTTTTCTTACCACCTGTGATCAAAACTGACATGATACCATTAATAAAAAGTTTTATATAATTAGAAATTTTATATGAAAAAAGACGATTTCAGGAAAAATGCAATACAAAACTCATCGTAAAATGACACTACTTGACTGGGAACTTACATTAATGTCATTTTCCTGATTTTCAGGTAAATAACTATTGAATGAATGTTGTGCCCAAGTGAACAGCGTTACTAAATAGTGTTATTATTAGTTAGTGAAACGACTTATTTACCTATCTAAAATGCTGGAAACTTCATTTTCACTTTTATTAAAATGGTAATATATACCAAAACATAATTGATTTCCGGGAGTTGCTATTTCTGTTACATTTATACATCCCCATCGACCCATCATACCCCACTCGTGTTCAATTGGTGATAGATAGATGCCGCTGAAGACCAAATTGTAGATGGCGTTTTTCTGGCTTAGGTAATAGTGTTAAGTACTTACTTTAATTAAATTTCGGTGAGACATTCTACCTGCCAGGTGATCCAGAAGATGTGAGTGAACAGTGCTATATAGGTAAGTTGCGGTGTGAGAGAGAGTGCGTATATGGGCAGCTTTCTGCGTCCTACGATATAGC